CAACATGTAAAATGGATAGCACACATAACTCGAACAGAAGTAATGACATAATCAAGATTTTGACATTCCACACGACTTTGAATAAAATGTTAGGAAGGACCCGCTCCTCCCACTAGTGGAATAAGCGATAACAGATAATGGACTTTAAAAAAATCCTATTCTACTGAAAAATTGTTTTAAGAGAAAGATTTTATAAACTTCAACCGACAGCAAGTACTTGTTGCTCGCTTAATGAATACCAAATGTTTCCTTGTTGGGAAACGGTTAATACTACCATTATTATTATTATTATCATTATTATTATTATTACTACCAGATAGGAAAGAAATAGCTCTTGTGTTGTACGCTGCATAGTTCCGCCTGAGGATATTTTGAGCGTCAAGTTGAAATGCCTGGCCGGCCCCCATGTGTCTGTCTGTGTGTAGATCGTCCTTGTTCTCGGTCTGTTTGTCGATAGGCTGGTGCTATTCTGATAGGGGAAAATAGGACAAAAGCAGAAAATAGATGTTTTTTAATTGCTGGATGAACGAAAGCACCCGCCGAGTGCATTCAAAGAAGAGAAGTGGAACATATGCCACAGTGAGCACAGGGTTTTTTTTTTTAGAAGTGCTTGAATTAACACACACACACACACACATAGAGAAAGACACACACACACACACATAGAGAAAGACACACACACACACACACAGAAACACACATACATATATATATATATATATATATATATATATATATATAAATATATATATATGATTTTGAACTTAGATAAATGAGAGAAAAAGTGACTAAAACTGATAGGTCGATGATAGATAGATAGATAGATAGATAAGTGACTAAAACTGATAGATAGATAGATAGATAGATAGATAGATAAGTGACTAAAACTGATAGATAGATAGATAGATAGATAGATAGATAGATAGATAGATAAGTGACTAAAACTGATAGATAGATAGATAGATAGATAGATAGATAAGTGACTAAAACTGATAGATAGATAGATAGATAGATAGATAATGAAGAGAGATATTTTTATGCACTTGTCAATTTTACATTTCCTTCGTACGAACTAATATATTTGATCTAGTTTTATTATGGCAAATACGGCATTACTTCCGAAAACATTAAAATTATTACAATAGTACTTGTTTAAATATTTTAATGCATTTTTTTTAATTATAGTGACATTTCCTGAAAATCATAAAGAAATAAAAGTGGATTGTTTTTTACTTGAAAATCAGATCCTTTTCTTAAAATGTAAAAGAAAGAATGAATTTCATTCTGGGATTTTGTAACTAGCAAAAGTTAGGATTATGTTTCCAGCTAATATAATTCCACGTTTCATAACTGAATCTACGAGTTTATTCAAAGCTTTTCAAGTGTCGAAATCCTGAATACCGTAAATGCCCGATTTAGCGCCTCTGGAGCGCTTATTTAAAATGTTTAAAGAAAGCACGTTTCGATTAACTTAACTTCTTGTCTTTAAATTCGTAGATGCAACTAAGCATTTTATCTTGCCTTTTTACTCTGTCTGGGCCTATCTATCTTTTTACTCTACTGTAAGAGGGATTTATGTCTACCATTTTCATTCTAGTGTAAAATGAACCTATGTCTACCTTTTTGACATTATTGTAAACCGGGTCTATTCCTATCTTTTTGGCTTTAGTGTAAACCGGGTCTATTCCTGCCTTTTTGGCTTTAGTGTAAACCGGGTCTATTCCTACCTTTTTGGCTTTAGTGTAAACCGGGTCTATTCCTGCCTTTTTGGCTTTAGTGTAAACCGGGTCTATTCCTGCCTTTTTGGCTTTAGTGTAAACCGCACTTTGCTATTCTAGTGTAGACCGGTCCTGTTTAATTTCTTGACTTTAGTGTAAACCGGGACTATGTCTACTTACTCTATCCTAATGTAAACCGAACCTATGCCTACCCTTCTGACTTTAGTGTAAAATGGATCTATGCCTATATTTTTTTTTATTTTAGTGTGAACTGGACTTATGTGTACCATTTTTACTTTAGTGTAAAATGAACTTATGTGTATCTTTTCTATCCTAATGTAACCCAGATCTATATCGGTCTTTTCTACTCTTGTGTAAAATAGACCTTTGACTACTCTTTTGACTTTAATGTAAACCGAACCTATGTCTACCTGTTTTTATTTTAATATAAAACGGACCATTGTCTAACTTTTTGGCTCTGTCTGGACCTATCTAACTTTTGACTCTACTGTAAGACGGGTCTATGTCTACCTTTTTTATTCAAGCGTAAAACAGATCTATGTATACCCTTTTGACTTTAGTGTAAATCGGACATATATATATACCTTTTCTATTCTAGTGTAAAACGGACGTATGTCTGCCTTCTCTAGATTTTTGAATTCAATGCAAGCAAAATCTATGCCTATTTTTTTATTTAAACCAGACTTATGTGTACCATTCTGACTTTAGTATAAACTGGACATTTCTCTTTTTATTAAATGTAAACTGGATTTAAGTTTATCTTTTCTATTCTTGTGTAAAATGGACCTATGTCTACCTTTTTTATTCTAGTGTAAATTGGACCTATGTCTACCTTTTTTATTCCAGAGTAAATTGGACCTATGTCTATCTTTTTTATTCTAGTGTAAATTTGACCTATGTCTACCTTTTTTATTCTAGTGTAAATTGGACCTATGTCTACCTTTTTTATTCTAGTGTAAATTGGACCTATATCTACCTTTTTTTATTCTAGTGTAAATTGGACCTATGTCTATCTTTTTTATTCTAGTGTAAATTTGACCTATGTCTACCTTTTTTATTCTAGTGTAAATTGGACCTATGTCTACCTTTTTTATTCTAGTGTAAATTTGACCTATGCCTACCATTTTTATTCTAGTGTAAATTGGACCTATGTCTACCTTTTTTATTCTAGTATAAATTGGACCTATGTCTATCTTTTTTTATTCTAGTGTAAATTGGACCTATGTCTACCTTTTTATTCTAGTGTAAATTGGACCTATGTCTATCTTTTTTATTCTAGTGTAAATTGGACCCATGTCTATCGTTTTTATTCTAGTGTAAATTTGACCTATGCCTACCTTTTTTTGTAAATTGGACCTATGTCTATCTTTTTTTATTCTAATGTAAATTGGACCTATGTCTATCTTTTTTATTCTAATGTAAATTGGACCTATGTCTACCTTTTTATTCTAGTGTAAATTGGACCTATGTCTATCTTTTTTATTCTAGTGGAAATTGGACCTATATGTACCTTTTTATTCTAGTGTAAATTGGGCCTATGTCTATTTTTTACTCGATTGTAAACAAATAATTATATAAAACATTTTGTTTCTAGTGCAAAACGAACCTATGTCTACCTATTTTACTCTACTGTACATCAGACCGATGCATACTTTTTTGACTTAATTATAAAAACGGATATATGTGTGCCATTTTGACTTTAGTGTAAAACAGGTCTTGTCAATCTTTTTGACTTTAGTGTCAACTGGATATATCTGTTTTGCCACCCCAGTGTAAACTGGACCTATGTCCACTTTCTTGATTCAATTTTCAGCCGGTCCTGTCCCCCGTTTCAGCTCTTCTGTAAATTGAACCCGTGTCTACATTTTTTTTACCTTACTGTAAACCAGACCTATGTCTACTCTATTACAATTCAATGACATTTTTTTTTTATTCTGTAATATTTAATGATAACCAAATAGAGTTAGAAGTATCGTTAAGCCCACAGGCTTAAACTCACCTACAGCCGATCAAAATCGATCTGACGGAATTAAACGTGTAAACTCGGAGGTAAGTATACGTAAATTTTACAGATATCTGATCAGTTTGTTTTCACTGATAAAAATCGATCAGAGGCAAATAAGCGAATATTGTGTCTCGCCAGAGTCCATATTGTACATTTACTAATCTAGCATTCACCCGTGCATCGAATACTGTTGCCATATCTGGTCAGGTACACTTGCTACTCGCCTCGAGGTTCTTGACAAAATCCAAACAAGGATCTGCAATGTAATCAATCCTGACTTGGCATCTCAACTTCACTCATTTTCTCACCGACGTGGCATAGCTTCCCCTTGTCTTTTCTATAAATATTTTCATGGATTCTGCTCTGACGAGTTTTTTACTCTGGCTTCCCGAGTACGTGAATCTAACCGTGATACTAGATTGGCATTTAGGTCCCAACCTTTTACTGTTGAAATAGTTAAATGTAACCGCCACTTCTACTACAACAATTTCTTTTCTCGCACTTCCCGACAGTGGAACTCCCGTCTGTTTACTTGCTTCCCTGAAAACTACAATCTTCAGAAATTTAAATGCAATGTCAAGCGTCATGTTCTGTCGTCTTGAACCACGTTCATCTTTTATGCTTCCCTCAACCCCACTCCTATACCCAGTCTTTTCTCTCACTTTAACTCTCTGTAACCCCCTGTGTACTAGTGGCATTCCCACCTTGCTTGGGGTGAATGATTAAAAAAATTATGTGGTTATATGTCATTTCGCGGGTTTATGTATGTCGTCGAAAAAGTATATATCGTAAATATGGAATAACCAGCAGTTGGCTGAGCTCCGTCAAGCTATCTTGCCCAAGACACACCACCGCTGACACAGCTGCAGTACGTGCGGTGCCCCTAAGAAACTAATTGATTATGGACTCAATGTTGGGGATATATAGGATATGCGAGTAATGTAGCAGATATCGACATAGAAAATGGAACATGCGATGTGAGTTCAAATTCTAGGCTAGTTTGATCCATTCACCACGAACTAATTCTATTGAGATAGATAGATAGATAGATAAGAGACTGAAACAGATAGATAGATAGATAGATAGATAGATAGATAAGAAACTGAAACAGATAGATAGATAGATAGATAGATAGATAGATAGATAGATAGATAGATAAGAAACTGAAACAGATAGATAGATAGATAGATAAGAGACTGAAACAGATAGATAGATAGATAGATAGATAGATAGATAGATAGATAGATAATGAAGAG